AAATCTATGATTTCTTTTGTGTGATGTAAATTTAATAGTCAACATAAGTTCATATAGGGAAAGAACATCTCAATAATCATAAATTGATGAAAACAATGAAAGTTAATAATGTAGTACCCCCATTTCTTATTGGATTTCTAAACAACAACATTTATAATAAATTATTAATAATTTGTTTGAATTTTTTAAGGTTTAATCTGAGCGATTCGGCCCAATTCTCGATTCGGATCCCCGATTCGTTGATCCAGATCGATTTTTGGATGCCCGATCCGGATTGCCGATCCACTTTTTAAACCACTCGTAGAACACAATATCTTGAATCATCACAAGATGGATGGTACAGATGGGTCATTAAAGCTAAGGGTCATGTCTTTTGCAATTCATCTTCCACCATTAGTGATTGAGAAGGACGGCCATGCTCTTGGATCAAGGATGTGTATGATAATACCCCATATAAAACAGATGTGTATGGTATTATTTCATTTCTTTAACTCACATAAAACAAATGTGATACCCATTTTTTACTTAAAAACCTCGCGATTTTTATAAGGAAAACGTTTATATAGAACCGAGGCTATAAACAATCAAAATAGAGCCTACCTCAAAAATTTCCCTAGAAAAGGTTGTTTTGATGCTCAAACATCCTCAAATTGATCATCTCGACATCAAGATGCATGGATATGAGAAAAAAATGGATTTTAAGTTTTTAAATAGTACATCTTACAAAGCATTTTTCGATCGTCAATTTTCAGATTTTCAAGGTTTCATAAATAGATTGGATCTACACTATTTTTTAAGCTTTAAATTTTATATATCTTAAGGCTATTACAAAGATTCCTAATTTTGAAACCACATTTTTCGACACTACTTGAAGGTGTGTTTTACTTTGATTGTTTAGAGCGTCGGCTCTATGCAAACCCCACTCCTTTTATAAAGGACTCCAGCCATCAATCCATCCTGTTACAAGTCACAAGTAAGTTTATTGCGTTATTGTTATTTTTATTTTATATTTGGATAAAAGAGAAAAATTCAATATTTTAGGGGTTTTACAAAAAATAATTTTTATTATCTTAAAAAACAATGCAATAGATTGTTTTCTATATTGATTTTAATGATGGGTGTGGTTTTCATAAGGTTGCGACCTTAAATAATCCAATTAAGGCGCACCTTCAAATTTGATCATAACATATAATTTTGATGTAAAAAATCGTTAGGATTATCTTAAAATCTATTTTTATATTTAATTATAAAATTTTAAATTCCAAAAATGGTTAAAATCAAGTAAATATATAAACATATGAAAGTTTAAAAAATGGATGGTTTAGATAATGTGTTGTAAGACGTACTATTTTTAGGACTCAAAATCCTTTTTTCTTTCATAATCATATATTTCGATGTTGAGATGCTCAATTAGAGGGTTTTTCAACATTCAAATAATATTTTCCAATGGATTTTTGAGCTGCATCCGTAGTTCTACATTTTAATTGCAACGTTATAAAAACATTTTCCTTTGGTGATTGCTTTTGTTTCAATGAGTTTGATGTTGTCGGCTTTTCTTTAATTGGTAGCTTATATGCATTATTGTGTATAAAGATTAGTTTTTTTTTTTTAATTTATATTTTATTTTTTGATTACTGTTTAATATCGGCTTATTGTGCGAAGGATTATTTTTTGTTTCTAATGATTTAACTATGGGTGCGGTTCATAAAAAACCGAGGCTTTAAACAATCAAAGTAAAACATACTTTCAAATAGAGTCAAGAAATGTGGTTTCAATATTAAAAAATCTTTGTGATAACCTTATAATAAATTTTCATCTCTAATAAAATTTTAAGCTTCAAAAATAGTTTAGATCTAGCAAATCTAAAAAAACTTAAAAATCTTTAAATTTGACAATCTAAAAATGCATTACAAAATGTACTATTTTCAAAATTTGAAATCCATTTTTTTCTTCTCACGACTTGCTTGATTGACCGGTCGGACTCCACATCGAGGACTTTGAGAACCTATCTCTCAACAACAATGTTTCCGAGTAAAGTTAAAAAAAAAAAACAGATCGATGACCTGGATTATTCATTTAGTAAACTAGTATAGTTCATTGGATCAATGATCTGGATGAGCAAATCGGCCAATAATTATTATTTTTTTAAAAAAGAAAAAAAAAAAAGGAAAAAAAAACAATCAACGGACTTATAATATTTTGGAGGAACCAGACCAACCCCATCGATTATCTGGAGTTCATATTGCCATATTTTTAAATATTGAACGAGAGAGAAGAAAACAAAAAGCTCCACGGAGAGATTTGGCTCCTTTACGTCGGGGTGCAGTTTGTACATAGCCGACGCTCTAAACAATCAAAATAAAGCGCATTTTAGCCAAGGCTCTAAACAATCAAAATAAAAAGCACCTTCAAATAGTATCAAAAAAATATAGTTTTAATACTCAAATTCTTTTTGATAGCTTTAAAATATATTTTCATCTCTAAATATAAAAATTTAAAATTTTTAAAATAGTGTAGATTAAATATATTTATAAAAACTTGAAAATCTAAAAAATTAACTGTCAAAAATATGTGTTATAAAATGTATTATCTTCAAAACTTGGAAATTCATTTTTTTTCTTATATCCATGTATGACGTTGAGAAATAGGATTTAAAGATATTGAGGCATCAAAGCAACCACGTGGAGTGCAAATTTTGAGGGGCGTAATTCGATTGTTTAGACCTCGGCAGTGAGACCAGGAGAGAACGAAAAGCGCGTACAAAGAGCACAGAGCTCCCTCCTACCAAGCGCACTGTTTTTTGCGCTTGGTAGTGAGAGAGAAGAGAGAAGAGAGAGAGAGAGCTGCGTAAACAGGACGGGAATGGCCGACCCCTACTGGAGATACTCGGCTGAAACAGGTCTCTCTCTCTCTAACACTTGCTTCTATTTGCGCCAAGACTCTCTCTTTCTCTCTCTCTGTCTCCATTTTCCCAAAACAAGTATTTGTAATCCCCTGTGAAGGCTTCTAATCGAATCAATTCGACTTTGGCATTGCATGCTGTGAATTCGTTCACTTCGTTTTGCATTTTTGGACTTTCAGTGTATTCCCAAAGTCCCATCCATGATAAAATTGTGGAAAAATGTTTAAATTTATTGTAATCTAGAAGAGAGAAGTAATAATTTTCTGTTCTTTCATTCTGCTAGTTTCACTTCTATCATCCCAGTACTGATGAACTACCCCCCAAAAAAAAAATGAAATAAATTAGTACTATGACTTAGTAGGTCTAATATTTTTTTGAGGTAAACTTCGTAGGTCTAAATCTGGATCCAAATATCTATTCTGAAGGGTGAAAGGGGGGGCAAATCTTGAGTTTCTTGGGTTAAATGTGGTTCTGCTATCTCAGTTCTGATTATACTACTAAAAGGGATAGGCCAGGCAATGGTATAATCTATGAGGATCTTCAGCTGCATTTAGTTCCGCTACTCAATGCTGATGAAATTATGAAGCTACAAAAGAAATACAAGTAATGTTTATCTATGAGTTTCTTGGGTTGCATTTAGTTGCCATATTTCAGAAAATCACAATTCTGCTGAAACTAAAAAAAAAAAAGGGACTATATAAGAGTAATCTACAGAAAAAGGAACATATAACAGTAATCAATGACTTTCTAAGCCAAAACTTAGTTGCTGTGCTTGTTTGAAGATTTTGGCATAATTTAAGGAGTTTACTCTCTTGTTTATCAACTGTACAATTCTTTGATATGGAGTCTCATATTGCTTTTAAACCCCCAACTATATCCGCAGGAATTTTTTTTTTCCTTGTAAAATCTTACTTTTTCCCCCGTCTCCTTCCAAAACCTCCAAGCACAAATGTGGCGAAGGTGCTTCTATGAAAAGTGGGCTCCTTTTAGAGAATTAAATGTTCCTTTTTCATGTTTGAGAAACAATCAGACCCACTAGTAGTTGTCCATCCTTTTTTCATTTTTCCCTATGCTTTCTGGATTGTTTTGATGAAACCAGAGACATCCTTGGTTTTCTTTGATTTTCAGGAAACCTAGCTCGAAATGATTAAAGCACCTAATTCTACATGAATCCCTTTCCTTTAGAGTATATTTTTCTTCCCTTCTTTATACACTTACTTGTATTTCTAATTATATGCATCTATTTCTTAAGGGCTTTCATAACACTACATTTCAGTTTTTTTCTTGTATATCCTTTGGCTTGAGTTAATTGCTTGCTGGTATAAAATTGCGAGTTTTGGACACTGGAGAATGGGCTATCAGGTCTTCCCTGCATTTGTGAACTCTGTGCTATTTTGCATGCCTTTGATCTCATTATTCCTATTTATTTATCGTAGCATGATTTTGTCCTGCAAAGGTTCATATCTATCTATCCTACATATAGGGTGTACTCTCCATGCTCTATAACTTATGCATGATATTGCATCTATCCTGTGCTTGTCTTGTTTTACCATATTTAGTCATACATGGCTTTGTCAATGGTTGTACATGTTCTTCAGAGAAGTGGCGACTGATTTTATCGTGTTAGGCTAACTAGCTGGTGGGTTTAGTGGTTATTTGTTTTCTGACATTTCTTCTTTGTCAGGTCGGTCCTCGTGGGGTGCAAATGATTCACGTGGAGCTTCTTCAGAATTCCTACAGAATGATGTAACTATAAATTAGAATAGCACATTATACCCCAAAAAACTATTGGAAACCATAGTCCATTGTGGTCAAGACCATCTATAAAAAATGGTGGATTGTGTTGGGGAGAGAGCTAGATTACCAGTCCAATCGAGTGGATTGCATTTTTACCGAGTTTATTGGATTATAGTTTTCTTCTTTTTACCAAATTTCACTGAGAATCTGTGTTGAACTTTCATGTTTTCTTACTTCCAATGCTATGATGTGATTAGTCTTGTGAGAGAAACACTACATCTTGATTGGCTCATGCAGATTTTACAATATCGACCTGGAGTTTATGGTCTTCATAATGTTGGGGGAATTGGGACTCATTATACACCAGGACTTAGTGGATTCACCACTGGAACAAGTGGATTTTCTACTGGAACAAGCGTAGGAGCACTTTCAACTTCATTAGAAGATCCAACTTCGATTAATCAAAGGTCAGATGAAGGTGTGGGTGGTAGTTTGAAAAATGTTGATGGTGTTTTGGCAGATGAATCCAGAATGTTATTTGTCGATGGACTTCCAACTGATTGTACAAGAAGAGAAGTGTCTCGTATCCATATGCAGTCTTTTTCCTTTCCAGTTGCTGGTTGAGGTTTTGATCCATGTTACCTATGCATATGGCATTTTACCAGTTCATTTTTGTATCCTTTTTTTTTGGGTAGATTTTTGTATCCTTCACTGATTGCTAAAGATCTTTTCCGCCCTTTCATTGGTTTCAAAGACATCAAAGTGGTCCACAAGGAACCTAGACGTGTGAGTTGTGACCGAACTTTAAATTTTCTTTGATAAATTTTATGTAAATTACTTTGTTATTGTTGTTGCTGTTATTGCTATTTGTGTTACATGTTACCATTTTCATTTTTGACTTTCTGAGCATTATGGCCTGATATATCTCATTTACTTATGTAGATTATATTGGACTTGCAGATTTATTTTGGTAAATATTAGCCAACTGAATACTTATCTTTTATGTTATTTAAGTTACTGATTGATTCATTGTAGAACTAAGTTCATTATTTCTGGCTTCCAACATGGGCTCAGTGTCAGCACTAATGTTACTTAACCATTTGATGATCATTAAAAACATTTGGTAAAAGAAAACTGTTTTCTTCTGACGTTCTTTATGGGTTGGCAAGCATTTGGATATGGAGCTATCATGCTTAGGAAACCTGAGAGGCATAGTGGAAACCTTCTCCAAAGAGCATTGCTACTGGATTTGAAGAGACATTGGCAATTCGGATTTTTGTGCATCAGGGTTTGACCAATTAAATTAGGTTGGTGAGCGTGAAACTGAGAAAAAACGTCCTAAACACTGTTGAAACACCCGAATTCCATTAGGGGGAAAAGAAAAAGAAAAAAAAGAAAGAAAGAGAAGATAACCAAACAGCCAGTCATGATTTAAAACCTGGGCTATTATGGCTGGTTCAGTCCAAAGCAGTCAAGCTGGTTGTTCGGATGGTTTTTATAATTTAGACATCATATGCCTTTCTTATAATGTCTTCTATTCTCTTGGAGGCACTATTTCCAATTGGACTTAATTAAGCTTTGTTTGCTCAGGTTCTGTTCCTTTAAGGGAGGGTTTTCCCTGCTCCTTCCTATTTAAAAGTTGTTTCCCAGGAAACTTCCTTCAGAGAGGTTGGGGTGGTTCACATTAATCCATCTTTCAATCTTACCTCCAAAATCTCTTCAAGAGAAAGTAGAATCCTAAGCCCTGTGTCTGGTCTTGGACATCCCTTCTTTGGGACGTAGCTCATCACTGAGGTGCAAACCTAAAGCTTACTCAGATTGAATGGAAACAAGAAGGCCCATTTTCGCCCATTTCCTTCTCCTTGTGTGCTTGCCCTGATTCATGCATTGCTTCCCTATCTTGCCTTATCTATCCATGCCCACCTCTTATTGCTTTCATAATCAAGAAGGTTCTTAAAAGACTCTATGCCCTTTCATTTAGCTCCTCTCCCTTCATTCACCTTACTAGTTCTTCCAAACAAATTTACCTTGAGCAAATTTTCCACCTTTCTATCGTTTAATTCCTCAACCAATACAATTCTCGATGCCCTTGTCCTTGCCACTTAGCTTTCCTCCTCTCAAGCGACTCCTTATCCTCACTTGATACTAGCCCATTATTCCCATGAGATTCCATCTTTTTCCATCGTGAACTTACATGCTGCTGCCCTCTCGTGTGATAATGAGATCCAAGTCATTACTGATGAGTTCTCTATTATGTTTCATTATTTACTATGTTTCATATATACTTTCTGGTTGTATCTCGGAATTAATGGGGTTGTTGGCAGTTTATGTGGAGCATGTGTCTAAGGCATCTAGTATTTAAGCATAGAACGTTGGCTCGGCGAGACACATCCATAAAAATATTGTTTAAAATGACATAATAAACAACTCTGAAAGTATAATAGAAGGAAAAATATCCAATTAGGCAATAGGCTTCTAACGACACTTTAAGCCGAGCCCTAACACACATAGCTGGAGGGATTTTTGGGCTGAAATTTGCTGCAACACCTTTGACTTGAAAAATAAATATTTTTAGACAGCATTTTAGAATGCGTGATGCAGAACCTATTGGCTCAGGCTCCGATGCGGCAATGCAGCTCAATGTGGTTTCGATGCAGGGTGCAACACCTCCGATGTGGTCAATAAATTTAAAAAATTTAAAAACACAAAAAAGTATAATAATACATAAAAGAACATAAATGTGATTTATGTGGTAGTAGGTATGTGAATCTATTCATTATCTCTAATATATTGACTGTTTGAGACTCTAAGGTCCCCTGATAGCCTCATAAAGAGTGATAGAGTTTATTGTTCTAACTTATAATCTTGAGTAGTTTAAGTATCTAATACAATTAACTTGTTAAACAAAGCAATCTATTCCATCTCATATAATATATCCAAAATTCCAAACTTCATATAAGCATCCAAAATTCCAAGCTTTAAACTCCCAAGAGGCAACAACTAAAAGTTTATGAAGATGATAAAAGACATTTCCTGAAAAAACATACTAGGAAATAAAAACTTACCAAAACAATTGAAAGAAATTTCAATTTCTACTCAGCCCCATGAAACCCTTGATTAGTTGGAGAATCTTCAGCCAAATACCTTCAAAATAATGCCCCAAATGATGTCAAGGTGTGGCCAAAAGAATTTCTTATTCTGTCTCAGAAATTTTGGATTCAAGAAAAATCATCTTGGTTTTTTTATCCCCTAAGAACGAACCTTGTTGTTGGTTGTAAGGAGTTTTTTGGGGGGTTCCTGAACCCCCACACCCCCCTTGTTTTGGTAAAAGGTTATTTTTGCCCTTACCTATGGGCTATTTTTTCACCCATGAGCATGGGCCACTTATGCAGGCACATAGCTCATTACGCTACGCACCTGCATATGTGGGTGATGCACTGCATATGCAGGCCCATCACAATTTCCTGCATATAGCACATATTATGTGGCTGTGCTTTGAAACGAAGTTTTTAGGGAAAAGTTGTTTTCGAATTCTTGAAGGCATTCATCTATTATCCACCAAATGGAGGGCTTGCGTACACTGAAAATAGCATACTCATTTTCCCGCTTTCTTTGCGCGTTTTGTTCTTCTGATAGATCTACATGTGTGCAAAATTTGTGCTTCAGAGAACCTCTACTTTTCAAAGTGGCTTACACTACAGTATAAGGCCGTTGCTCATATATATAATATATATGATAAAAAATATCATTATCTGTACATTGAGCACTTGTCGAGGTGGTAGAGCATCTGGATTCGCTATAAGATGACCAGAACTCTAATTCAGGTCTTAAGAAATTTTATTCTAACCCTTGTCATGGGGTGTTGACATGTGACACCAGTGGTCATTATTGTACCATTAAATTTTACCCTTCTCCAATGTAGCCTTCGACATTTTCATGTTCTAGACGTATGAACTAATGGTTCATGAACATATGAGTTATTTATTTATTGGTTTGCTTCATCATTGGAATGTTGGAAATTGATTGTAGGCTGGAGATAAAGCTCTTGTGTTATGCTTTGTGGAATTCATGGATGCAAAGTATGCTGCAACAGCTCTAGATGCCCTTCAAGGTATTTGATTATGGAATGTATTTGAAGTTGCAAATTTGGCATCCTATGCACACATGAATGCCTTTTGATGATCTGATGCTCACATGAATGTGTCTTGTCATGATCTATATGATGTACATTTAATTTGGGATTCCCTTAGTGATCCGTGTAGTTTTCATTTCCAAATAAGAAGTGGTGGCAATATTTAATTCTTGGCGATTACATACAGTTTGAATTTGTCCATTCTGAATCTTTTGATTGAATCTTAAGGATGCAATGCGTCACACCTGCTGTAATTGGTTCAGTGATTAAATTTACACTGGAATTTTGTTTCCTAAGTGAGAAAAGCCCTAGCATCATAATCTGCTTCATAGAGAGAGAACTCAGATTTCCTCTAGAAATTCGCCTCCAACCAAGGTTCCTTTTAGCTTCTATTCTCCATACCATGTCTAGGAAACTCTTGAAAATTTGTCAACTGTGAATTGGAGCTAAACTGAACCATTCATGGGAAGACTTAGGGTCATAGATAATGGAACGGACTCATTTACTGGAACAGCTAGTTGTTGTCTTTGTGATCTCGTAGTGAAATTGCAGATTTGCTTATGAAAGAAAACATAACTATGTTATAATTGCTTCTGTAAAAGCCTTAAAAACACTAGATACTTGAAGGAGAAACCCTAGAGTTCCAACCCCATCTTCCACAAAACCTGGGGCATCAGGCATTCATTATTAGAGTCTTGACATTACAAACTTGGCTTCCTTTGTTACTAACCTTGTATGTGTAAGAGAGAGAGAGAACTGTGTCTTCCATTGAAATCCGGCCATCATTAGTAGAACATTGATATTGCAAACTCAGCTGCCTTTGTTACTAACCCCGTCTCTGTATGTGTATGCATATGTGCATGCATGTGTGTGTGTGTGTGAGTGAGAGAGAGAGAGAGAGAGAGAGAGAGAGAGAGAGAGAG